AGAAGCCCTATGTCTGCAGGGAGTGTGGGCGAGGCTTTAGTCAGAAGTCACTCCTCACTATACACCAGAGGACACACTCAGGGGAGAAGCCCTATATCTGCAGGGAGTGTGAGCGAGGCTTTAGTCAGAAGGCATACCTCATTAAACACCAGAGGACACACTCAGGAGAGAAACCCTATGTCTGCAGGGAGTGTGGGCGAGGCTTTAGTCAGAAGTCATACCTCATTATACACCAGAGGACACACTCAGGTGAGAAGCCCTATATCTGCAGGGAGTGTGAGCAAGGCTTTATTCAGAAGTCATACCTCATCAGACACCAGAGGACACACTCAGGAGAGAAGCCCTATGTCTGCAGGGAGTGTGGACGAGGCTTTAGTGAGAAGTCAGTCCTCACTGTACACCAGAGGACACACTCTGGGGAGAAGCCCTATGTCTGCAGGAAATGTGGGCGAAGCTTTAGTCAGAAGTCATACCTCATTATACACGAGAGGACACACTCAGGGGAGAAGCCCTATGTCTGCAGGGAGTGTGGGAGAGGATTTAGTCAGAAGTCACACCTCATTATACACCAGAGGACACACTCAGGGGAGAAGCCCTATGTCTGCAAGGAGTGTGGGAGAGGATTTAGTCAGAAGTCACACCTCATTAGACACCAGAGGACACACTCAGGGGAGAAGCCTTATGTCTGCAGAGAGTCTGGGCAAGACTTTAGTGATACGTCACACCTCATTGGACACAGGAGAAGAAAATACTGCCAACACACACCTCCGTGTCCCCAGCTTTGAGAGGCTTCAGAGCAAGTCCCTGAGAGTGAAGAGCACAGAAACAAGTGGGTAAGCAAGTCCTCCGGTTTCATGTCAAGGGAAGATGTCGAGAAACCCCAAGGGTTCCTGAAGTGGGCAGGTGGTTCTGCCAGTCCTCTCCCATGATGCTTTAGTCTTTTGTAGTAAATATTGCTTTCACACAGAGCTGTAGTTCAAGCCACATACCTTACTCCCTCATCAGAGAAGACACCGAGAACTCACATTCTCAGCCCAGATTTCCACAGCACTTTGGTCCCTGAAAAGGTGAAGTGTAGATTCTGACTAAATAATTGGAGAATCTAATGTGGACCTGGGGAGAGAAGTTGGGACCCTCTGAGAAGGGAGCACTTTGATTCCCTGGGAAGTATAGCCTTCTCTCTCCCAAATCACCTGGAAGCATAGCTCTCAGGCTTAATGCCCCCCAGGGTCCTTGAACCACATTTCTAATAGAACACCAATCTAGGCCTCTCCTGTTGACTTTGCTCCAACCAACCTCTCCTCAGACCATCGTGTCAGCCATTCCACAGAATACCAGGCAAAGCATGTTCAGTGAGGAGCTCTAAAACTCAGAACCACATGGGTAGGAATACTAAAAGTTTGAAGGCTTATAGCTAGTGGAACTTGTAGTGAAAGTAAGAAATCCTGTACATCTCAATTTCCCAGGCTTGGTGGCCCAGAGTCGACACCTTGGGTGAGACCAAAGAGCAAGACCAAGTGGGGGAGCAGACACACCATGGAAAAACGCCGCGGGAACCTCAGAGCAAAGATGGACAATACACTTTGTCAGATTTGCTTTGTTCTGATTTTGTTTTTCTGATATCTGTTCATCGGCCACCCACTGTTTGCATACTTCCTTTCCGGTGACTAGAGGGGCGTGCCTGAGCGAGTGGACACCCCCACCCTAACCATTGGTGGGTTCTTCTGCAACGCATGCAGCTTGGCTTCTGCTGTTTGACAGGGTTCCAGCAGAAGGAGAAACGTCATGCAAAGCAGATGATTCTCAGAAGCTGGCTTCTATCTTCTCTCTAGGATAACTCTGAATTCATTTGTAAAAATATATAATATGGACATATTCACAGCCTTTACTGTGAGCTCTGTAGGCCTTGGGAAGAAACCTGTCTGGCAAAAATTGTTTCATCTTCAGTGGTTTGAATTCAAAGGGAATCGTATGAGCCACTCCCAATCACAGAAAACTTAAGTAAAAAGTAGCTGCATTTATGAGATCACAAAAGCAGATAACAAACTACAGTAAAGTTGACCGACCCCTTCGGACCTCACCACTATCAATTATCAGCCAGAATTCAGAAATCCCCACTATTACATACAGGCACCTACGTAAATAGGCAGAGAAAAGTGAGCATAAGTGAAAATTAGTCTAACTTTAATAATCTACATTTCCTGCATCAATTAGCCAAGTTGGGCATTATGACTCACAGCTTCAAAAGAAAGGAACATAGGAACCCTGTGGTTAAGCAATCTAATGAATACTTTAGAAATACAAAATAGTTAAGTAGATGTTAGTAATACCTTACTATGAAAAATAGTAGTACATAATGTAGGATAGAAGATTGATAATTAGTAGAAATAATAAAGTAGTGTAGCCATTGATGATTAATATAAACATATTGCTAATAGGATGTAATCCGGGGTCTGAGAAGTGGAAATGATTTGTGTAAGGTTTAACTTGATCTTTTAGTAGGAATAAGAAGCAATTTATCACTTAATGTAGGAGAGGAGATGATTTCAAAAGAAAATGTACAATAGTTGAAAAATGAACAGAATATGAAAGGTCAGTTTGGACATCACAGAAATACTATTGTTAAGATTGTATGATCACAGGGTGAAGGAATGTTATGATTAAAACTGTAATAATTGAAGGGAAAAGGAAAATGTCAAATTATTTTCTACTGTATAATTTTAAGTATAAAAATAAAGACTTGCTGAGCCGGGGCAGAAAGAGAAGTAAAAGAGAGAGAGCCCCATCAGCCAACTAAGCAGAGACTCCTCGATAGCTTTCCTTTTCGCCGACTCCACGTCTCCTCTCGTGTCCCGTGACCCTGAGAGAGCTGGACTCCAGCACATAGGCAAAGATTCGCTCAGCACAAGAGCAGGCCCTGAATTTTTTTTTTTCAATTTGGCAAAGGCCAGAAAACAAGGGGTGTGGAGTGGGAAACAGAGTTTAAAAACAAAACAGGTCAAAAATTAAATTAAATCCTGCCGTACAGCATAACAACCAACAGTGGCATCTTGAAATCTCTCAGGCAGGTTTGAAGGCAAGAAGCTGAAAGTGGACATGAAAGTCATACTCATATTACACTACAGATTTTTTTTTTTTCCTTCTTTCCCCCCCTCTCCGTTTTCTGCGATTATAAACTACAGTACTCAGTCTAATTTTTTTATTGTTTTTTTGTGTTTGCTGTTTTATGCTCCCCCTTCAACCTTTGGGGGACTCTTTCTTTCCCTGTATCACCCAAGAAGAGACAGCCACCGATGCCATATAATTAAGCTACAATCCTGCTGTATAAAACACCAATTTCCAGGCAAGAACCAATACCAACTGCCATATACCAGGGAGGCAGACAACACCTGTGAAAGTTACTGTAAGTTAAGCAATAAGAAGAGTGTGATCACATCTACCTGGAAGTAATCAGAAAGCATAAAAAATACCAAACTACATAATTAAGTATTAAGGCCAGAGATAAACACTAAAAATGTCCAAGAAGCAAAAGCAGATGACTATATCAGCACATGTCCAAAAATACAATAAAATGTCTGACAGAAATGACCTAGAGGTAGATCTGGACTCCATTCTGGAAGGACAGCAGGCATTGGAAATGCCTGAGAAAGAATTCAGAAAAATGATAATAAAATGTTTCAAAACACTTCCCAATGGAGTTGAGAAAAATAAGGAAGAAGGCAGGAAAGTGCTACAGGAACAATCACATAAGATAGATACAGCATTGGAAGCCATTCAAAACCTACAGAAAGAGGTTCAAACGATCAATAATAGAATCTCAGAAATAGACAATACACTGAAAGGGCAAAGGAGTAGAATAGAAGAGAGAGAAGGCAGAACCAGTGACCTGGAAGACAAATGTCTCAATACCACTAAGAGGAAACAGAAAAAAGGAGAAAAAAAAATCTGAAGATCTAAGATTCATGTTGGAAATATGAAGAGGAATAACTTAAGAATTATCAGCATTCCAGAACAGGAAGAATCACATAAGTCCACAGAGGAAATCATTGAAGAACTTCTTGAAGAAAATTTCTCTAACATCCTGAAAAGATAAACATTCAAGAAGCTCACGGAACCCCACAGGAAGGATAGATTGCAAATGGAAATCACTGAGACATATCATAATCGAGCTCTCCAAAATCAAAGATTAAGGAGGCACTCCTGAAAGCAGCTAGGTAAAACTGAAGTGTTACATAAAAAGGCAAGCAAGTCAGATTAAGCTCGGATCTCTCAACAGAAACCATGTAAGCAAGACGGCAATGGGGTGATATATATAAAATCATGAGAGAAGAAAACTGCCAACCAAGAATCCTTTATCCAGCAAAGGTATCAAATATGATGGTGTAATCAAAACATTCCAGGATAAACAAGCTAAGGGATTTTGCCAAAGGGAGTTCTGTGGACTGAGAACCAACAAGAACAGACAACAATCAGAGACTGACACACGTGGCATCACCTCCCTGAACTAAATCGACAGAAGGAAATGTTGAGAACAGAACAAAACTGTAAGAACAAACTCAGAGAATCTGGGAGGTCAGTCTATGATCAAAACAATTACAACATAAAAGAAGATAAACTGTAGGAACAGAGATCCAAATGTTGAGAAGGTTAGGTACATTACAGGATAAAATAGACTGTACTAAATGGAGGGGAAAGTTAATGGACTATAAAGTAATCTCAAAGAAAATTAAGACTTCACAACATACCAAGAAAATGAAAATCCAGGAACTTGGAAACATTAAAACTGAGGAAATCCACAAGAAAGAACACAAAAAGCATGAACTCAGCAAAGGAAGACACACACAACAAAGAAAGCAACAACACCACAAAAACAAAAAAACAATGTCAGCAATTAATCCATACCTATCGATAATTACACTGACTGTAAACAGATTAAATGCACCAGTTAAGAGATGGTGGCAGAATGGATAAGAAAACAAGTTCTTTTTATATGCTGTCTGCAAGAGACACATCATACACACAGAGACAAAAACAGATAGAAAATCAAATATGGAAAAAAATATACCAAGCTAATTGCAATTAAAAAAAAACAAAACAAAAAACGAACAGGAGTGGCAGTACTTACTAATCGCTGATAAAATAAACTAAGGCAAAAACCAGCATATTAGACAAAGATGGACATTACCTCATGATTAAATGGACAGTTGAACAAGATTACATAACCATAATAAATATCTATGCTCCCAATGAAAGAGATCCAAAAGTTTTAAAGCAAACTCCAATAGACTTGAAAAGAAAAATAGACAAATCTATCATAACAGTGGGTGATTTTAATACACTGCGTTCAAAAATGGATAGAACAACAAGAAAAAAACTTCACAAAGACACAGAAGAACTGAACAACACAATCAGCCTCATAGATGTGTACAGAGCATTCAACCCAACAACAGCACAACACATTCTTTTCCAGTGCACAGGGAACATTCTCCAGAGTAGACCATGTCTTGTCGTTGTCAGGTGCCATCGATTCGGAACCTACTCATAGCGACCCCATGCACAGTAGAACGAAACAATATCCGATCCTGGACCAACCTCACTACCACTCTCACACATGACGCCATCAATGATGACACCTG